TGTCTAGTATAGCTGTCTGTTCTTCATACAACAATTTCAAATTAAAAAGCTTGACAGAAGCATTTAGAGAAAGTAAATCAAGCAACCACAGAATATTTAATACCTGCAGTATCAAATAAGGGCACACAGGCTGAGTGTGAACCCCACAATTTGAAAGGAATATCAACTACTTTTTTTTTCAATAGATGACAAGCTTCTTAATTCTTGTGTGTATTCAGTTAAAAATAATATGTGATTAAGGCTAATGGGAGGGGAGAGTAAAATAAAAAAGCTACAGTGACATCTGGTCACTGCAGTGAGACTTGCTAAAATAGTCTTGAAGACTAACCAACTACCTCTGCCCATAGCTGATAAGCACAATGTGCAAATCAACTATTGCTTGATGGACTGGCAAATTCATTATCCTGTTTACTGGTATATCTTCACAGAAAAGCTGTTTTCCCTCAGGCTGCTTAGAATAGAAGTCATTTAAATTTCAGATCCAATATAAACATGATTCTATAAAACTTGCACAAGCATTTGAAAAGTATTCTTGAAACTGAAAAGTAAGAGCAACAAACTCATACTGAAGTTACAATTATTTTATTTTGTATGCCAATTTCTCATGTTCATTATAATCTGGGAATAGGCAATAAATTTCTTTTATAGAAACACCAAATATCAAAGCTGGAACACTTAATGCACACTGTAGAGTATGATTTAGCACAGCATAAGCTGTGTGGGCATAATGCTCACAGATCAATACACCCACTAATACTGATAGTTGAGAATACACAGCACTCCAGGTTGCTCCAAAGGTCACTTCTTTCTTTAAAAAAAAGAAAAGAAAAAAGAACATGCCAATGGATGTTCCAGAGCACTCACAAGCAAAGCCAAATGAGTGTTTTTCATCAATATGAGGAAAACACAGAGAAATCTGATTTAAAGGAATCTAGACTCTTCTCAGAAATACCTTACCTTTTGTCCTATAGAATATTGGCCAAAATTCTATTAAGGAAATTATCAGCATAAGGTAAATGTCATCTAGTGGGGAGAGTTTGCTGGTAATTAAGAGTTTTTGTTTCAATCCAAAGGTTTGCATAGCTCATGCACAATCAAGTCTTATTGCATGTGAGTGTGTGAGGCTCTGGATAGAAACAAGAACCCCTTAATTAATAGAAATTTCCCCCGCCAGATGATATCTCCCTTATGCTGACTTATTTTACTCAATAGCATTTCAGCCACTAATAAATTAAAATTCCAGTGTGAATTGACTTGTGCAAACACATTCATATTAAGAAGATCACTATCTTGATCCAGCTACGTCAAATATACACAAGAAAACACACAGCTAAGGATGAAAATTTTAAATTTCTTAAGACTACAAATCCATAATTCCCCATTCTGGGAGTTCTACCTGACAGACATCTTAATGTGTCTCACATGGGAGAAAGGCCTCAACTGGAAGGCTCTGAGGCTTAACTAAACCTAGCTCCACCCAAACTTCCTGTTCAGGAAGGAGGCTCACAGACAGCACTGGGGCTTAAACCTGTCTACTATTAATATAGCACATTCACCCACTTCCTTTCAGTTCAGCATTGTCATTTTTCAAGGATACCAAATGTCTTTACATACATTCTTCCAGGATAAAGCTACATACATTGTGATTGGTATTTTAAAATAACATTACTACAAACCACAGGAAATTAGGATGATTATTTCTCACATTAGTGGAGGCAGAGAATGATCTTTACTCTATTTGGCAACTATAAGAGATAACTCAGATTTTTCCCCCAAACAGTTTAACACTTATTTCATATTTTTGTCTTGACCCTAAACTTGTCTGGACATGGAGCTCATAAGCTTAAAAAATTTCAAAACCACAACTTCCTGTCTATCATTATACCTACAAACACAAATCACACAAGAATTCAATAGGAATTCATCACTATATAAGTCATCCAGTGGCTGAAATCCTTGTTGCACAGTTATCAAAAAGATATAACTTTTGAAGTGAGCTACTGTAACTTAAGAAATGTCCATACATTATCTGTTGCATCCTGAGCTATGTGATTTGGAGTGGAACAGATAATATCTACAGTGATTTGTTAACTTACAGTAAAACATGTCCAAAAGTTATGCCTCTGCATAATAGCACAACAAAATTTGGGTCAATAAAAAAAATCTGTACTATCACCATTTAATATATTACACTTATTCTGTGTCTGTAAACTACTCATGCAGCAAATACATATTTCAAAATGCACATGCCACTACGCATCATGTACTGGATACCCTTTTGCAAAAATTTAGAGATATCTGCCTGGAGAAACCACAATTAAAACCTCTATTCAAGCAAGAAGCCCACTGGATGAACTTGGGCCAGTTATCTCTCAGCTAAAGCACTTCAAATGGAACCCAAGATGATGAAACAGGGTGCTACCCTGAACTCCCTACAGTAAGGGCAAGAGAAAAATAAGTACAAGTGTACGTCACAGGGAACTGCAGTTGTACAATCAACAGGGTTTCACTGTAGTCCTGCAACTAATTTGAAATTCAGCAGCACAACAGGAGAAAAGGTCTTCGCTGTGGGTTAAACCGCTGAAGCCTCTGTGCTGCAAGGTTGGAAGACCTGAAGTCATAAGATCGAATCCACGCGACCCGCCAACCTAACGTTGCTTGTCCCAGCTCCCGCCAACCTAGCAGTTCAAAAGCATGCAAAATGCAAAAATGCGAGTAGATAAATAGGTACCACCTCGGTGGGAAGGCAAATGGTGTTCCGTGTCTAGTCACACTGGCCATGTGACCACAGAGGATTGTCTGCGGACAAACACTAGCCCTATGGGTTGGAAACGGAGATGAGCACTGCCGCCTAGAGTCGGACACGACTGGACAAACTGTCAAGGGGAACCTTTATCTATACAGTATCTCAAAATATTGTGACACATCTATTGTCATTTGTAGGATAAATCATATTTAACAATGTTTACCTTTAAGAACATCAAGCATTTCACAAAATATGGCATCATACTGGAGTGATAAACACTAAACACATTCAGGACCAGCGAGCATCTGAGGCCACCCTGTCTTTTATGTCATTTACCAAATGATCATCTTGTTCACTTGGGGATAATGTTTTCACCTCTTATTTACATGTGCCAATGCAAAACCTGTGGGTATGCTGAGGCTGCCAGCATGAATGTCAAATCAAATCAAATGCCAAATCAAATCTGTTGCCAAAACAGAACTGCAAACTGGAAAAAAATGCATCTGCAACTTAACTCCTAGAGCTCAATGCATGTTGTTGGGAAATACCAGTGACTTCACCCAATATTATCAAGGATTAATGTGTCAGAATATGCAACCAAGGCTTATGTGCCAATGATTGGTGAATCTGGCCAAATGCCACAAGCCCAGCTACATCTATTCCATTAGAGATGCAATACACACCCTTAAAATCTCTGATAGGAAATGTTCCTCAGTGTTCCGTAAGCTGCTGAAGGTATTAGAAAGATTTAATAGCCTTGGATAGAAACCAATATTTTATGCACTATCAGTATGCAAAGCACACTTTTGTTTTACTTCTAATTCAGAAATAATTGTGGCTGGATGATGCAGCATACAATAAGAAAAAAGGGTTAAATTTAAAGCAAATATTGCCCTTAATTCGTTAGTTAAATGGTTTCTACATTGCTATGCAAAAGGTAGGCAAAAGATACACTTTATCCCAGGGTTTTTTTTTTTCAGAGACCAAATACTTGCTATTTGTTGTGATATTTGTAAAGAAGAAATAAAGTACGGTAGTTAATATGACTCTGAAAGACACTTTTTTCTCTAGGCAGCAATCAATACTAAGTACTAATTGACACAAACTGGTATCCTTTGAACTTGCAACAACATGCAGAAAAGCTACAATAAGGGATGGACAAAAGTTGGGATACATTCTGTTCCACAATAGGAATTGCAGAGTCCAGAGTTCATCAACACTGCATAGAAAACACACATAAGAAAAAAATTTATTTCAAACTATTCATGCAGGTCTGAAGGCTCAAAAAGCCATTTATGTAGCTTACACTGAAAATCTTCTCCCAATGGGAGCTCAAAATCTCCTCTGTCTTTTCCTAGATACCTCATCTCACTTTGCCCTCCTCTCAGGAACCATCAAAAACCACTGACTTCTCTAATGCCCTCCAATAATTTCTTGTACAGTACATATGAAATATGTACTGCAATCCAAACTAAACAACACACCCTCATTTAACACAAGGGGCTGCAAGTCATCTACCAGGAAGAAGCAGTTCCAGGTGACTAGGTGGAGGAAGGATAAAAGAAGACCCTGAGTAAGGGGCAGCATGTGGTGTGGTGTGAACTGCCTGGGTCTCTTCCATGCAACAAGCCTGCAATTTTACCTTGATGGGTGTGCATTTACCTCAACTTCTCTCACCGATTAAAGTACCTTCAGAATGACAGGCAAGACAGTTCTTTCAGTAGGAAGGGTCGCTACCGCCCCCCCCCCCAAGAAACGTATAACGTCAACGCACCCACAGTTGGGGAGGAACGTTTTGACAGCTACGGGATGGGGGCACTGACAGAAAACACACCAATGCCGGGGCGCTGGTTCAGCCCTACTGAGTCACTTAAGGACTGCACGGACCTTCATGGGCGGAAGGGAAGAGGGAGCGCTCGCGCGGTGAAACTATGAGGAAGTTAAAGCCCTTCGCCCACACCTAGGGAAGGGAGCCGCCCTTCCACTCTCGTGTCTAGAGGCGATTCGCCTGCAGAAGAAGAGGCGAGGGCGACGGGCAAGAGAGCGCGTTGTGTGAAGGGGGAGGTAGGCCCCGAATCCTCACCCTGCCGTCAGGAAGCCTTGGCCCCCCTCTTCTTCCCCTATCGCCGAGGAAGCTGCCGGAGGAGTCTGGTGGGCCAAGAAACCGGTTCCGTGGGCCGCCACCCACCCACGCCCTCGCCCTCGCCTCCCGCGCTCTGACACTCCCACCCTCTCCCCGCTCTCTCTCTCTCACCCAGCGGCCGCGCCCTCGAACTTGAGCGCGAGCGTCTCCTCAATGATGCGGTTGTTGACCTCCAGCAGGATCATGGCGACGGTTGCGGGCGGGACGAGGTGAGGAGGGGGTGCGGAACCCGGGCGGGGGAAGGAGAAGGAAGAGGAACGGGGGGGGAACAGGGGAAGGGAGAGAGAGAAAAAAACAAACCAACCCCCCCACACACACACCACCTAGCCGAGAAGCGCGCCGCACCGGGGACCCGCCCGACTCCAGCCGCTTCCGCCACACGGGCCCCACCCACCTCCGCCGAGCCGGCACTGTGCGTCACTTCCGGGCTGGCAAAAAAAGGAGGGGCGGGGAAAATGCGGGGAATTGAAAGACTGCGCTTTACGCATGCGTTCCTTGCCTTCCAGGCCGTCGTTTGCGCGGTAACGTCTTGGGGTCTTGGCGTTCGCTGACTTCCGACCTGGCCGAAGATGAGGCCTGCGCGCGCATCCTGGCCCGTGGCTCTTAGACTCTCTGCCAGTTGCTGTGACGTCACCTTGGCTGTGATTCCCCGGGACGGCGTTAGCTCGTGCCACCAGCTGGACCTCTCTGTTGCTCTCGGGCCCGCGAAGGCGTGCGCTGTGGGGGCTGCTGGCTGTCCGCTGCCTCCTATTAGCCAGAGGCGCGCACTTGGGGCCTTCGCACCCTCAGGGCTGCATTGGTTCCTATATGTTTCCCAGTTATGATATGTGCAGTACCTGTGTCCTTGATGGACTTAACATTTGGGTTTAATTCACCTGTAGACGCATCGTGGCAGCCTTTTTAGTGGAGCTCTGGAAGTAGAAAAAATGTGCAGGAAAAAACACCGGCGCCTTAGTTCTCATGTCCAGCCACCTTAAAGCAGCCCAAGCTCTTGCAACTGAAACAGCTTTTCTTTTCTCCCTGTTTCCTTGTACCGGATTGTAGAGGGGGTCAAGGAGGCTTGGGAGTTCTGAGAGTTGTAGGCCTGTCGTGAAAAATGGTCAACTTTCTAAAACGTTAGTACCAAAAGACAAAGTATATGGCTCAGATATTGCTAAGGCTCCAATTAAATAAGTGGGTGTGTTGCATCCAAAGTGGGGATTCTGGCAGCTGCAGTGCAGTCACAACTGGGCTGCTGACTAAGGCCAGTTACAAGGAGCATATTGTAACACATGTATATTTAAACACCCATTTTAAAAAACCAAGAAATTCAATTATTCACAAAACCCTCAGTTTATGAATATGGGATATTGTCCTTCTGTACCCTGATTCAAAATGCCAGGAAATGGCCCAGTATTGCTGCCCAATATTGTGCCGTTGTGACCAGCAAGAAAAAGGATGATAAGCTTTACGTAGTAAAGGTCTCTTCAAAGAAAAGCTGTCTTTTGACTTTCTATGACCTTTCATTGCCCTTCAAACATATCCTTTCCCAGCCTATGAAGCTGCAACAATGTATGTACTTCAGAACATTCTTAGGGGCGTAAGCATATTCAACTCATGCTCAGTTTATAACAAAGTCACTGTTTCATCCTTTTGAAACGTATATTTTGAGGATCTGTATTTCAATCCTTGCCGCCTGGATTCCTTCCAAATAACAAAAGCAAGTGGGGCTAACTGTTCTCTTTCAAGTTATGCAAAATTGTGTTGTTATTTTTAAAAAAATCTTTGATGTTTTAAATCTGGGGGCATTTAAGGTCACTTGTTTTTGCATGAGGGGAACAGTTTTACTTTTAAAAATCATAACTCAAAAACGTTGCCCCAACTTCCCCCAATTTGGGACAGAGCAAGAGCAGACTGTCTGCTACATGTGTGTCATATTTTGGTGTTGATCTGAAGTCCAGTTTCAAAGTTACAGTTTTTTTTAGGATGCCCCTATTTTTAGAATTGCCTTGTACAATGTTGATTTGCTTTGCTGCACAATAACATCACTGTACTGTTGTGCAGTGATAATAACATCCTTGCTACAACAGTGTCACTGACTGCTGGTCTGTTCCTGAACCCAATTCAGAGTTCTGGCTTGGGTCCAGGCTATCTGAACAAATGTATCACCTCATATAGGCCTCCCCCCCATGAGGTATTCGACCTAGGCTTTTCTCTCAGTTTCATTGCCTACACAGGTGTGTCTGATGGAGACATAAAAGAGAGAGTGCACACCATCTATGACCAAGCACAGACATTATGTTGCCCAAGCGGAACTGAAAACTAAATATGACATTTTCCCCAACCATTAGGTAAATACTGTTAAGTTGACTGCAGTTGGCTTGCCTAATATGTAGATTAAAATTGATCCCAGTTTCTTAGATATGGTAATTTCTGTGTACCTCTCTTTCTAGCAAAAAAGTAACTTTGTGTTTCTATATAGGGTGATAGCAGGGATTCTGCATGACAGGCAACTCTGTCTAGATTGGGAGAGGCATTCCAATCAGCACCAACAGAGGCTGAATCTGAAACCTGTACCTGTGATTTGAATCTACAGTCCCTATTTTGAAACTGACTTAATAAACATGGTGAACAGATCTCATCATGATTTTGGGATCTATGTTTTTTTTTTCTCGTGCCAAGTCTCATGAAAGGCCTGCATGGGGTCAAAAGCGAGCTTTTATTTGTGGGGTTTGTTTTTTGTGTGATTGATTGATTGTTTAAAGCCTGAAAGGGAGATGTGTAGAAGTGAACTGCACATAGGTGGTCTCCAGGCATAACTGAGAGAGGCACCATGCTGACACTAGACAAAGGCTCATCCAGAAAAAAAACCTAAGGATTTCAGTGGGATGTTTGCCTCACTCCTGCCTTTGAAAGAAGGTGTTGACATAGCCACTGAAATGTATACCCCATTAATTCATTTGAATACACCCAGCCATCTCCACTGGGTTTTAATTGTCAGCTTGCCAACCAGAGCTCCTTGATCCATGTAACTATATAAAAACTGGAGAACAATGCTGTTCCATTTGACAAGCAGAGCTGCAAGTACACAAGGGGAAAGGGGCTAAATTGGCATAATAGACAGCCGGTCTTTGCATTTTGGTCTGTGTTCTTCGCTGGAGATAAAGAACCCATTTTCAGGGGTAACATAACTATATAAAAAACGGGAGAACAATGCTGTTCCGTTTGACAAATAGAGCTGCAAGTACACAAGGGGAAAGGGGCTCCACCTATTTGCTTGTTAGGGTGAGGATATTTACGTGAGAGGGCAGGACTCCACTCAACTGCATCTGAGCTAAAACAACTCTCTTTTTTCTCACTGCAGTTTCTTAAAGATGACAAATATATGCAGAGCACAGGTTGCTGTCCTCTGAAGATGCCGTCCGCAAAGGCTGGCCAAACGTTAGGAAGAACAACCTTCAGAACACGGCCAAAGAGCCCGAAAAACCCACAACAACCATTAGATCCCGGCCGTGAAAGCCTTCGTGAATACAATGACAAATATACTTTTCTCATGCACCTTCCAAATTGGGACAGGTCAAACATGTTGGTGTGTCATTATTATGGACGAAGGCAATGACCAGTAGTGAATGCTGTTGAGGCAATATTAGTATATAACTGTAAGTCAGCCAGCCTGATGAATTTCCACAGCACAGGCCCATTTCTAATAGCTGGAAATGAAAATGCATGTAGTTAGCATATGTATTTTTTGCTGCATAATGAACTGGAACAAGGGGCCAGGAATTCTGTTTCCTACTATGCCTCCAGGGAGAATAGCCAGCATGTGTGACCTTGAGCAAGCTACGTGACCCCAGAGGACCCCAGAAGAAGAGATTGGTAAACCACTGCTGAGTACCAAGTAAGGGCCACCATAATCAGAACTGATTTGAAAGCATACATAAGGGATGAGACACTGTTTTTTGGCAATGGTTTTCCAAAAGTAGAGAGCCCATATATCAGACAGAGTTCACATGATTTTAAGGTATTTGAAGACAATATGTTGTGGTAAAGCCTTAATTTTTCAGTATATGAAATTCTATGTAGTCAGAATCAAGTCTTTGCTAAGTTCCATAAACTAACCAATAATCATGCACCATCAAATAAATTCTGACTTATGGTGACCTTTTCCAGGATTTCCCAGGTAGAGAATATTCAGAAGTGGTTTACTAGTCTCTTCTTTCGGGGACATCCTGGGACTTTGCAGCTTGCCCAAGACCATACAGGCTGACTCTTGGGGGATGCACAGTGGGGAATGGAACTCCCAACCGCTTGCTCCACAATCACATACTTATATCACTGAGTTATCCGCACGAGTTAGTGTGAAATAAAGGTTGGTGCTTAGGTGTTGACAGCAGAAGAATTTAGAAATATATGGACAATATCCACTGCAGTCGTGAAAGAAAAAAGACTGGAATATTTTTCACTGTTCAGACAGAGGACGTTTTTGAACTTTCCAATCCTTGGCTTATATCTGTCCTTGTATACCTGCTTTTGTCATTCCTTCTTCACTTTGCTTCTTTTCTGCTCCTTCATAAATGCCATAACACTACATAATATATAGTTTAAACTAGTTTGTCATCTCTGTCCCAAACTAAATCATACTTATCTCCATGATGATGACACTTATTTACAAATGGAATTCATCTTCTATTCTGTGCCAATAACCAGGAAATGGAGATCAATTTGAAAGCATGTCGGTCTTGCATCCTACAGTATTGTCTTGACTTGAGAACTTAATCCGTATTGGAAGGCGGTTCTCAAGTCAAAAAGTCTGTAGGTCAAGTCTCCATTGACCTACAGTGCATTAAAAACTGATTAATCCCGTAACAGGCCGTTTTTGTTGCGTTTTTTTTTTTCTGGTCTGTAAGTCAATTCTCAGGCTGCAAGTCAAACCTAAATTTTGCGGCCAGAGAAGTCTGTAACTCAAAAAGTCTGTAAGTCAAGCCGTCTGTAAGTCAAGGGTCCACTGTATTTAGCCCAGAACAGAAAGCTGTGAATTCTGAAGTAGTAGGACTCCAGTACCTCAAGCTTCACTTAGTGCTTTGCAGATAACTAGAAATAATTTCAGATGAAAGAAGTTATATTTTTACTTATTCTGCTAACTTCTCATTCTTGCCCCTGATCATTCTCTTTTTGTGCCTCTCTAAGTGCATCTCCAACCCTAAATAACCCAGGATTCTGTAATATCTTTTTCTCTCTTTGAAAGCTCACACTAGTCTTTGAATTATTACAATATTTTGCTGTTTTTTCTATTTCTTTTGACAACATGCTGAGACAGACTACGAGAGCTACTTTTTGCAAATCTAATCATGTAGTATCTTAAACTGCTTTAAAGCCCAGAGGCTTCATATTTTTTTTACTATAGGCATACAAGAAGAA